AAGTAATGCAAAAATCCGTTTCTTCTCAACATTATTACAAGGGAATTAGAAAAGTATTGAAGAGAACAATACAATTCTATTCATATCTTATTATTCAACTGATTAGCCTATAAAACTACATAAATTTTCTGCTTAATAATGAATTTTAATTCCTTATTTTATGTTTTTTCAATGGAAGATGTTGATGCATTAAATTTGCATTGTTTTCTTTAATAATTTTCAAACTCCTTTCCAAAAATATTCCATAAAGCATGTTGTTTTTCAACATTGTTAAAGTATTATTTTTTTGTTGAGTGAATGTTGAAGATGCATATTTTTAGACATGTTTTTTCTACTAAGGAAAAAAAGATGTGAATTAAATATTTTATAAAATGTTTTATTTAAAATGAAAAGTAAAATTTTTATTTTTTAATAACTGTTTATAAAAGTATTTTCATTTATTTTATAATTGTTTCACTATTTAAATGTCTTTTATTCGTATTTTAAAGTATCTTTTACCTAAAAATACATTTTAAATAAAATTAATCTTTGAATTGATTAAATATAAATGTTTTATATTTAAGTAAATAAATAATTCAAGAAATAAAACAAAAAAAACNCAAATTTTGCCTTAATGATTGAATTTTGTAGTAAAACTTCCCGAAAACGCATACTCGTGACTGTATATATAACAAATTTGGTTGAGAATTCCCTAATAGTTTTTTGTACAGAGGAGTCCGAACACCAACTCTTCGTTTTTATCTGTACATTAAATTATATTGTTTTTTAAAATAATTTTTAAACTCCTTTTTAAAAAAGTAATGCAAAAATCCGTTTCTTCTCAACATTATTACAAGGGAATTAGAAAAGTATTGAAGAGAACAATACAATTCTATTCATATCTTATTATTCAACTGATTAGCCTATAAAACTACATAAATTTTCTGCTTAATAATGAATTTTAATTCCTTATTTTATGTTTTTTCAATGGAAGATGTTGATGCATTAAATTTGCATTGTTTTCTTTAATAATTTTCAAACTCCTTTCCAAAAATATTCCATAAAGCATGTTGTTTTTCAACATTGTTAAAGTATTATTTTTTTGTTGAGTGAATGTTGAAGATGCATATTTTTAGACATGTTTTTTCTACTAAGGAAAAAAAGATGTGAATTAAATATTTTATAAAATGTTTTATTTAAAATGAAAAGTAAAATTTTTATTTTTTAATAACTGTTTATAAAAGTATTTTCATTTATTTTATAATTGTTTCACTATTTAAATGTCTTTTATTCGTATTTTAAAGTATCTTTTACCTAAAAATACATTTTAAATAAAATTAATCTTTGAATTGATTAAATATAAATGTTTTATATTTAAGTAAATAAATAATTCAAGAAATAAAACAAAAAAAACAATTTTATTAAATATTTATTTTATACAATAATTACAGTAAATTGTTTCATGTTTATTTTAATGTAGGATCCACTAAATCTATATCAATTATACACCTATCTTGAAATAAATTAACAATAAGGTTTATAAATTGTTCACATCATTTAATTTCTAAACACAATTATTATCATTTTATCTACAATTTTTTAAATTATTATTATCATTATTATTATTATAAGAACGAATAAATATTTACAATTCCCTGAGATGTGAAAACATAAAAATGATGTTGCTGTACTTATTTTTTTTATAAAAATATATTTATATATATATATATATCATAGTTCAATGACATATATGCTTCCTATAAGTATATTTTACATAATTTACAATATAAACATTAATTCAATATATTATATTATATAAAAGTCAGTATCATCAAAACAAGAGTAGGAATGCTGATTTTAATGGTATAGATACATAGAACAGTTTCACTTTTTCTAGTTTCAAACGATTGTTGAAAAAATAAGGATAAAAGTATCTTATAACAAAGGTACTTTTTAGAAGCAATAATAAACAAAACACTATAAAGGATTCTATATATATTTGTATACTTTTCATATGTAATTTCAAAAAAATCTCTTATACAAGCATCAAACATAATATTAACTTTGAATTCTTTCTATATTTCAGTACAAACATTGTCCATAATTGTGATTTGTATCGGCGTAGTTTCTTATTATATTTATTTCTTTATTTCTTTATTAAATAAATAATAAAATATTTATTATTATAAATCAGTGATTCTTACTCCTTCACGATGCCTGCACCCCTTAAATTTTCACAATATGTTCTAGCATCCTTCCATGAATTATGTTTGTTTTTTTAATTGAATGATGCGTAGTCTTATTTTCTTTCACAGTTTCAAGTAAGGGATATTTTCGCTTCACGTATGAGGATTATTTCAACCCTAAATTTCGGGACCTGAGTAATTAAGACCCCGCAAAATCTTACATAATTTACGTCGCGAAACTTAAATAAATATAAAATTAATAATGGATTTTAAGGGTGTAGTAAAGTAAATAACGATAGTTTTTTTTTTAAGAAATGCGACAATTAAAGTCTAGCTTTATTTCTGTTACTAATTAAATGTGCATTTTATACATCTTTAAAGTCTCACATTTCCAGAAAAGATGTCTCGTATTGTCGGGGTGCGTGCATTAATCCAGTTTAAGGGTCACTGTTATAAATTATAAAATAAATAAAATTATTTAATAAATTACACGAACTTAAATTGATAAATTTGAGAAAAATTGTACAAGAATAACAGTAAATTTTCTTATACGGCACATATACGAAGAAAGGAAGACTGGTGTTAATTATATTGTTAATGTACTGTACTGTTTATGAATTTAAATTGTATAACTTCTACAAATTTTAAGTGATTAATAATTTAAATAAATCTTAAATATTTAATTTAAGAGGATTTCGATCGTTTTTTAAAGAGAAATTATTAAACGTAATGTAAATATTTTTATTATTATTCAACTAAATTTATTTCTAAAGTATTATTTTCAGTCATTTTTCTGATTTTTTTTCCTATTTTAGAAGTTATTTTAAATTGTTTTCTTGTTAAAATAAATTGTTTTAAGTAGTATAAGTCGATCAATTTTCATTTTTTAACTTACCAAAAATTTATAAACATAAATAATAATTTTGCAATTTTTATTTTAATAATATTTCTATTTAGAAACAGCTAAATTAAATCAATTTATTTCTTTAAAAAATTAGCTAATATAGGAGTTATTTTGTAATTTTTATTGAATTTTTTCATAGCCTGAAACGTATATTAATACATAAAACAAATTTTGATTCATCGAAAAAATTAATTTAAAACAATATAAATACATTTTGCATAGTTTTAAGATTGTGTTATGTGTTTAACATTATTAAAAATTCTTTCTTAAATAATTTAAAATGTCCATAAATTGTCTTCATTCATGTTCATGTATATTTGGGCAAGTTAATTATTTATTTTTCATGTTTTACATTCATTATAAATTGTGTATATACCCTGACAAATGAAATGAGCAAACTTTATCAGTAGACACAAGTNCTCCTTCACGATGCCTGCACCCCTTAAATTTTCACAATATGTTCTAGCATCCTTCCATGAATTATGTTTGTTTTTTTAATTGAATGATGCGTAGTCTTATTTTCTTTCACAGTTTCAAGTAAGGGATATTTTCGCTTCACGTATGAGGATTATTTCAACCCTAAATTTCGGGACCTGAGTAATTAAGACCCCGCAAAATCTTACATAATTTACGTCGCGAAACTTAAATAAATATAAAATTAATAATGGATTTTAAGGGTGTAGTAAAGTAAATAACGATAGTTTTTTTTTTAAGAAATGCGACAATTAAAGTCTAGCTTTATTTCTGTTACTAATTAAATGTGCATTTTATACATCTTTAAAGTCTCACATTTCCAGAAAAGATGTCTCGTATTGTCGGGGTGCGTGCATTAATCCAGTTTAAGGGTCACTGTTATAAATTATAAAATAAATAAAATTATTTAATAAATTACACGAACTTAAATTGATAAATTTGAGAAAAATTGTACAAGAATAACAGTAAATTTTCTTATACGGCACATATACGAAGAAAGGAAGACTGGTGTTAATTATATTGTTAATGTACTGTACTGTTTATGAATTTAAATTGTATAACTTCTACAAATTTTAAGTGATTAATAATTTAAATAAATCTTAAATATTTAATTTAAGAGGATTTCGATCGTTTTTTAAAGAGAAATTATTAAACGTAATGTAAATATTTTTATTATTATTCAACTAAATTTATTTCTAAAGTATTATTTTCAGTCATTTTTCTGATTTTTTTTCCTATTTTAGAAGTTATTTTAAATTGTTTTCTTGTTAAAATAAATTGTTTTAAGTAGTATAAGTCGATCAATTTTCATTTTTTAACTTACCAAAAATTTATAAACATAAATAATAATTTTGCAATTTTTATTTTAATAATATTTCTATTTAGAAACAGCTAAATTAAATCAATTTATTTCTTTAAAAAATTAGCTAATATAGGAGTTATTTTGTAATTTTTATTGAATTTTTTCATAGCCTGAAACGTATATTAATACATAAAACAAATTTTGATTCATCGAAAAAATTAATTTAAAACAATATAAATACATTTTGCATAGTTTTAAGATTGTGTTATGTGTTTAACATTATTAAAAATTCTTTCTTAAATAATTTAAAATGTCCATAAATTGTCTTCATTCATGTTCATGTATATTTGGGCAAGTTAATTATTTATTTTTCATGTTTTACATTCATTATAAATTGTGTATATACCCTGACAAATGAAATGAGCAAACTTTATCAGTAGACACAAGTTGTCGACTCGAAGCACCATATATATATTTTTTTGACAGTAATTTTATTATATAAATATAAAAATATCCACCATAAAAATTAATGTAAATAATATCAAAGTATAAAAAGTATATATAAATATATAAACTTAAAAAATTGAAGGACGGTTGATGAGTGAATAAAATCTTCAAAAGATGCTATTCTTTACCAAAGGAGCGAGATAAAAAATAAGCAAAAAATTCAAACTAAAATATCTTTATAATGCCAAAGATATATACGAAAATTTGTAAAGTTATTTATTTTTTATTTTATTTTTTTTGGATCCTAAACAAAAATATTCAGCAAAATGTTTAGATTCTTCTGAGAAATCTCTTCAATTTGATTAATGTGCAGATTATTGTTGAAGGCCCATATCGTAGCTTGAATCGCGTTCGAAAACCTAAACGTTTAGCACCATACACTGTTCTGCACAGCACTGTACTTATTGAACAAATCTTCAATGAAATGTGTCGATAAATCACTACATTGCTGCTTCTACAAAAGAAAAATATATATAAAAATATATTTATAAAGTAAGAAAATTTTACCATAAAATTCATTCTAAACGCTAAAGAATTTTTTTTTTTTTTTTTTTAAATTTTTGGAATCAATTCGAGAAAATCCTTTATCAATTCTTGTTACAGGAGTAACAAGAGGATCGATATTTTCATATATAAAATTGACAAAGTATACAGATACAACCTGTCCAACAC